AACTTTAAAATTTTCAAAAAAAAAATTATATGATGTAATTAAAAATTTACGGATTTCGCAATTTTAGCTTTATCTGATAACTTAAGACGTTACTTCGTATCAAATTTCAAAATTCTAAGTTCACGGGAAGCAGGGTACTTCCTGTACCGTAGGTTTTGATTCGGCTGTATCTTTTGATTGCTTTGTCTTAGAAGTTTGATTTTTTCATAGCTCCAAGGGACAGTAGACATGAGTATTAGATAAGAATTTCAGTTTGATACCTCCACGCGTTCCTGAGAAAAACGGTCTTGACTGACGGACGGACGGACTGACAACAAAGCGATCCTATAAGGGTTCCGTGTTTTCCTTTCGAGGTACGGAATCCTAAAAAAGAAAAATATTGAATGTTTTTAATATTATGTAGGTTGGTACTGCGAGCACCCAGTAATACCAAAAAAATAACAAAACACCTATATATTGTATAAAAGAAGTTTTTAACGGGTTAATGCACGAAACTTTATTTATTTATTGACGTTTCGCAGCCTTTTCAGGTCTGCATCGTCAGAATACTGTTTTTTTATTCGTTCAAATTCAATTAATAAATCAGTATTCTGACGATGCAGATCTGAAAAGGCTGCGAAACGTCAATAAATAAATAAAGTTTCCTGCATTAACCCGTTAAAACTAGTTTTTTTTAATAAGTGATGTGCGTGAAAACCTAAGAAATAAATACCTATATATTGTCTTATAAATCGAATGATTAATGTAAATATATATAAAAACAGCTTAATGAATAATTTTATTCCATATTTTACAAGAATTACAGTCACATACAACTTTTTTACATTAATTAATTCAGTAATTCTAATAAATTATTATAATCTTCCAAATAGTGCGGTCAACTGATGTCTTAAAAAAATTGAAATATAAAATATGGATTTCTTTGATTAGAAAGTGAGTTTACAGAAGTTACGATTTAATCCTAAATGAGACAACATAGAACAATGCTTTTCAAGTGAAGTGTAGAAGTGAAGAACTCGGTGTAAATCTGTCTGTCTGTCAAGGATTGACATTATGTCTATGTGGCTTACTCTTGTGAAGAGTTCACACTGGGGTCTGAGCTGTACACCCAAACCTTTGCTAGTGAGTATTTTAATCATAATAAATATTAGGCTAGCTGGTTACAAACGGGTTGACATTTTTTTTGAATATTTAAAAGTTATCAGTTATTGGACGTATTCATCGACCATTTCAATAGATTTAGATCTCTTTTTTCTATAGCCTGAGTACAAATAACAGCTGTTAATTTTTCTTCCTTAGTGGAAATCTTGGATAACAATGCGTCAGCCCTCTACAGATATATCATGTCACTTGTTATGAAGCAAAACACTGATGATTAGCTCTTTTGCCATACTTTTAAGATTTTTCGTTAAAAGGGTGACAAACAAGCCTTTGATGGTAACCAAAAAAAAACACTCGCACCGTTGCCTCATCATCATCATCAGCCTATTAATGTCCCCACTGCTGGGGCACAGGCCTTCCCTATGGATGGGATAGGGAGATTGGGCGGGTGCTAACGACTGCAGATGCATCCGGGACCAACGGCTTTACGTGCCTTCCGAAGCACGGAGGAGCTCGAGATAGTAAACTTTTGGTCACCCATCCAATGACCGACCGCTGCGAAAGTTGCTTAACTTCAACCATCGCAGCCAAACGCGCTAACCACCTGCGCCATCGAGCTCCTCCACCGTTGCCTACCCCGACCCAATCTCCTACTCCATGGAGCCCTGGAACCCTACTCATCGATAGAAATACAACACCACGAAAAGGTAGTGTTATTTTACTGTGATCTTCTCTAAGGTGGAGGTTAATCCCCCGGACGCCCGGACGGTTGCTCCAATTCGAGCGGCAAATCCGCTATGTCCCCTTCTCTTACTTTACATGCAAAATGTTCACAAAACCCATTACAGAAATATCAGTGTTAGAGTCTGTGCGGAAAGAGAATGGGCGTGGCGAAAAACGGAACTTTTGAGATTTTTATTTGGCAATCAAACCCAGCAATCTGTAAAACGTCAAAGTTTTGTATTGATACGGATTTGTTTGTTGTTGTGATTTCTTGCGGTTTTTTGTATTTAATCATGTTTAAAAGGGGTAAAACCTTACAAATACGGTAGAAGAGCACTACAGCGCGCTCCAATCTAAATCCCTTACTCATTCCGCACAGACTCTACTCAGTTTTAGAGTATAACTATGAAAATGTGTAATAGAGTAGGCTTTTCCCACGCGCCTATTAAATCACATATCTGCAACCCACAATTTCCCTTGTAAACACAATTCTGATTTACAACTGTTTACTCTTTAGTGAACTGTTATGAAAACATTTTGGTGAGCTGTGCTGTGACTAAGCATATTTTATTTCACTTTATTATCTTTCTGTGTATCGGCAACGTTTTCATAAACGAAATTGTTATACGTGTACTCTCAACTGAGCTAAAATTAGCTCGAATGACCAACGAAAACACAGTTTTTATCAAACTACACTAAGCGCGAGGATTTATAGGCTACTTGGTGGGAGTAAGTATTTCTTTTGCGAATTGTGAAGACAACAAAGGAGATTGCTCAGCTTCCATACATGTTTGGCCTAAAGACCAATAATCATGAAAAATTGCTTCCTAGATTCGAAATTACATATAAATTACTGTAGAAACGAATATTATTGACGGACACCCCTGAGAACTTCTATAAACCATATACACTGAACATATTAAAATAATAAAAAACAAATAAGTTATATAGTAAACTAGGGAAATCAAGCCAAGTACCGAAATTATGGATTAGATTCAGGTATATAGAGCATATAGATTAACAGATAGTTGCCTGTTTTTAAAGTTAATGCATAAGAGTAACTTTTCAAATCAGGTGTCATTTCCGGTTATAATAAGGTACTCTGTGACAGAAACTGTGTGATGATTGTGAATGAGCCACAGATTAGAGAGAATTTTTAAACTCTCGTTATCCAAAGAAAGCTAAGAGATTTAGGTTCTATAGCCATATATTCAGTAGCTTCATTATTTTTGTTATGTTTATAAGATAACTGTATTATAGATTTTTAGTGTATCACACTTTATAATTTTATTTATTTATTAATTTATAGTCAGGGAACCTAGGCCCATAGATAGATACCTTAAAGTCTAACATATATACAGATTATAATGTGTTTATGGAGGTGTTTGGCGAAAAATGTATGGCAATAGACTTTATGATGTCGCCTACCATCTATAATAATTGTCTGAGCACATTTGCATCTAGTGAACATTATAATATAGTTGTGGATATTAATACCACAGTGTAATAAAAAAATGATTTATTTTATCGATCTTTACAAAATAGATTTGTTTTTATGTTATATACTTCGATCAGTCTTTGGCTGAATGTTACTACATCCATAGCCATTAAAAGTGATACGTATGTTTTCCAAACCGGTAAAATTAAAAGTCCTTTTTAAAGTAAATATATTATACAAAGGTGTCCGTTGAAAACTAATGACTGTAAATTAAATTATAAATTACGCCAGGAATTACCGTGTATGTCAATATTTTTTGTGCATTTAGGCCAATTTGAGCAATCTCCTTTTCGCAAAAGACAGTCTTGTATGAGCAAATATTTTTTGTAACTGCTCACTAGTGTCTTCAATAATTTAGAGACCTTGTGTTGACTTTTACAATAAACAATCAGGTGGATGGTTAAGGCATTCAATTATATATAATACGACCAGAAATTGTTTGTTTGTTCATTTATATTAAACTAGCGGCCGCCCGCGACTTTGACCGCGTTAACTTCAATTTTAAAACTCCCTAGGAACCTGACACTTACCCGGGATAAAAAGTATCCTATAAATTAATCCAAGACATAAACTATATGAGTACCAAATTACATCCAAATCAGTTCATTAGTTTTTGCGTGATTGAGTAACAAATATGCAAACACAGAAACTTACAAACTTTAACATTTATGATATTAGTAGGATGGTGTTATAAACGGCAAGTTGGTGATTTGACAGCTCGCTCAGGTACCTTCTGCTCTTAGATTAAAATTCTAGTAGGGTTATTAGGCAATCGCTTACCTCTATAGACCACAGGTAAACCTACTTCTACCTTTTTTTTTAATAAATCTGATCACAAGCAGTACCTTACTCAAGTATCTTGGAAAAGAGAAACAACAGGTCCGTCCCGGGCGGGGGCGTAGCGGAATAACAAAATTTTCAGTGTGGGCGCGTCCCGGCCGGGGGCGTCGCGGAATAACAAAATGTTCACTGTGGGCGCGTCTTGGCCGGGGGTGTCGCGGAATGGGTGCGTATGCGTAACAGCCGGACCCATTTATTTATGTGATGAATAAGCACTAATATTTGTGCACAAGCCATGCTTGTTGATACTATTATTTACGTTATTAAGTTGCTGTGCTTAGTTAGACACTAAATAATAGGGTGTTGACTAACTTGTTTTTCTTCGTCTGATCAGGTAGTTTTATTTTTTTATTTTACACCATATAGCCTAGCCCCAAAGTCAGCACTGTAGGCTTGTGCTATGGGATACTAGGGTAACGGATAGAATACATATATAAGTATATTTATATAGAAATACATTTTAAATATCCATGACTGGAGTACAAATGCTCGTATTCATCACACAAACATCTGCCCCCACCGAGAGTCGCACCCGTATTTTACACGTATTTCTTCTTTTTTCACATAATCAAAACATTACGGAGATAATATCGATTTGAATGACGTCACGTCTTAGTTAATTTTTTCACTTAGAAGTGACATCACGAGCCCCCGCTCCCAAACTTTGTAGCGCTTTATCTTTGCATTTTTTCCGTTTATTGACGAAATAAAAAATGTGTATTATTTTTTGATAATCTTACTGACGGACTATGCTTAATTTACCCCGCTTTCATCCTTCATCCTTATTGTTGTGACTTGTCCAGAATCTATTTAACCTATTCTATTTGATTGTCCCCAGTTGCAAGTGCGGCATTCCCGTGGCGATTCGTCAGAGGACAAACTCAGCGATGACAGCAGACCGCTCAGCCACGCCTCCGACCTCAGTCGGGACAATATATGTGAGTTTCTTATTCTATATATGAGAAAAAGCGAACGGGGGGGGGGGGGGGTTATATTATCTATTTTAACAAGGAACAGTATCTCCTGACACAGACTATTTAAGCTGGTCATTAGCTTAAGATCACATTATTATTCAAGCCAATAAAAACTGTTTAATCTTCTGTGATTTAAGCGGGTAACTCGCTGTGCTCTCTTTTGAATGCCGCTTCAATAATTCTAGGTTTACATCCGTTATAAATTAAGCAACGGATGCCACTTAACATAGCATCAGTGCCCTATTTCACCTAGTCGACGTTTGTCACTGACATAAGTAAGTAAACAAATGTGACAGAAAAAAAGTGATAATTTTGTTAATTATTTTCGGAAATGCTCATAAGCATTAAGGTTCAATTCCGCAATGGGCTGCAGGCGGCAACCGCAGGCGACACTGCGGCTGACCGTGAATCAATTTCATAGAGAGTCATAGAAACTAGTAGTGTCGCCTGCAGTCTGCAGCTGCGGCCTGTGGTCTGCGGTTCAGTTCGGATTTGTACGTTTACAGGTATTTTGTTAGCATGAACACCGCAATATGATGATAACGCGTTTTTTCACGCTTAATTATCAAATTACTATGAAGTTTGACAACTGACAGCGTCTAACTAGACGCTATAAGAATCGTGTTATAATGTATATTGTGGTGCTCATGCCATAACACATGGAGTCGAACGTAGCTAAACCCGATACTTCTAACGCGTAACCTCAGAATACAGAACAAACTGTATTCTGAGCGCGTAACAACTGGGCTTGCTCCAGCAAACTCTAAAGAATACCTAGTACAGTGCAACCTGGATATAACAAATCGGAAGGGAACAAGTAAATATATTCGTTATATCAAATAATTCGTTAAATTCGGATTTGTCATATTGTGGTTAGGTTGGTCTTCAATTTATTAGAAAGAGGAAGAGAATAATTATTTTTTTATTTTTCACTGCTAGATGTCTAAATCTGAATAAAAAATTACTAGAATAATTTCCACGCGGACCAGGCAGCGGCCCTGATGGCCAAATTAATATGTCGACTTGGTGAAATAGTATAATCAATGATGATACATTGATTTGTTTCACAGTATCATTGGCCAACGCGCCTCGTCGCAGCCGGCGCGGCGTGGCGCCATGCATCGACGCTCAGCGGCCGCTCACGAGATACCTGCCCGTCGACCGGGATGACTTCGATCTTCGGAGACACGTCGAAACAGCGGGTATTTATTAAAGCAGACCGCCTTACTTTAGTAAGCCTTTATTAAAGTAAGGGGATCCACAGGACCTCTTATAAATAAATAATAATAAATAAATATTTCCAACATTCACATCAATTAGCCTAGCCCCAAAGTAAGGCTTGTGATATGGGATGCTAGGGTAACGGATAGAATACATATATTGTACATATCGTTATATATATAATTCTTCTGTGAGTGTGTATGTCACTGAACTTCTCTTAAACGACTGGACCGATTTTGATGAAATTTTTTGTGTGTGTTCAAGGGGATCTGAGAATGGTTTAGATTCACAATTTTGTCCGCTGGACAACCCCTATTTTTTTAGGGCGGTACGAAGTTCGCTGGGTCAGCTAGTATAAGTATATTTATAAAGAAATACATATTAAACACCCATGACTAGAGTACGAATGCTCGTATTCATCACACAAACATCTGCCCTCACCGGGATTTGAACCCGGGACCTTTCGAGTCGGCGACACCATGAAACCCGGCGTTTAAACCACTCGGCCACGGAGGTCGTCTTATGCAACCTGTGACTAGGGTTACCAAGTTTTTTTATATCAAATATAGTATTTTCGAAGCTGTTACCTCTAAAAATATAGTAGATGGCAAAAATTGAAAAAAAAAATAGAATGTGATTAAAATATTTACTTTATTTTTGATATGAGTATATTTTTGCTGCTCTATACTTCACTTTTTATTTTAAGAAAACTTTTATTGGCAAAGGTCTGCTTTAAGCAACATATAGTAGTTTCGCCTACTATATATATTTTTTAAAGAAATATATTATATTTGATCCCCTACTATAGTAGGATACTATATTATATAGTAGGGTTGGCAACCCTACCTGTACCCTACCAAGGATAGCTCAAAAAGTGGTCCAAAAACGCCGTAATATTGACACAAAAAATGCGACGAATATTTTTTTTAGTTTTGATACCTTTTTTTATTACCTGTATGCTTGATTTTAAAACTTATTTTGTAAAAAAGACATCATCATTCGTAAAATTGACACTCATAAGACTATAGACTCTTCAGTGTATGATGATAGTCAATAATCTATTTTATTCATTTCTCAGGTCATCAGATTGAGTTGTGCCCCTACGTGAGCGTGAATTCCACATCATGTCGCGGCTATTTGCTCAAACTAGGTGCCAAGTTCCACTCGTGGTCCAAAAGGTTAGTAAAAACACACACAAAAAACACAAAAGCATCATTAATTAAATAAATAAATATTGCCAACTCTCACACCAATTAGCCTAGCCCCAAAATAAGCAGTGTTCTGTTATTTATGGGATGCTAGGATAACGGATAGAATACATATACTGATACATATATAAGTATAGTTATGTAGAAATACATATCACACACCCATGACTGGAGTACAAATGCTCGTATTCATCACACAAACATCTGCCCCTACCAGGATTCGAACCCGGGACCTCCAGAGTAGGTGACACCTTGAAACTCGGCGTACATACCACACGGCCACGGAGATGGTCTCGTTTCAATTAAGTATTCGTAAATAAAAAATTTAAAAAAGCAGTATTTTTTACAAAATCTAACTAAAATGACAAAAAGTTCAAAAAAGTATTGCACTCGCTGGACCTTTCATATTAAAATGTATACATGTACTATTTTCCTTCATATGCGTCATAATAAGTTTTTAAATAGTAATCCCACACTGACCTTAAATTTTTCTGGGGAAAAAAAGATTCTAAGTCTCAATCCAGGCAACAATCTGTATATTGTATGCCAAATTTTATTCAAATCCGCTCAACCGTTTTTGCAAGATAGAGCAACATACATACAAGTGTTCATATTTATATATAATATTATAGTAGTTTTGGTAGGATTTCATCAACTGTTCCTGTGACTGCTAAGATTTTCTTTAAATTGTAAATTCGACCCAATATCGTCATCTGTTCTTCAAGAGTCGCAGCCATATAATGACAAATATTTTAGTTAATTAATAGTGTGGTGATTTTGACATTGTTTCCGATTCAATAGGCACTTTTAGGCAAAAACTGCTTGATATTGACTTCTCAAAAATTCAATTAATTTCAATGAACTGATAAATAATAATGTATATTAAGAACCGATAACCTTTGGGGTAGCGGAGTTCTGAAGTGGAGACCGCGACTAAGCAAACGTAGTGTAGGACGTCCTCAGGCACGATGGAGTGACGATTTGCGCAAGGTGGCTGGCAGGAGCTGGATGCGAGTAGCCCAAGATCGATCTGAGTGGCGTGCATTTGGAGAGGCCTATGTCCAGCAGTGGACTAAGATAGGCCGTTGATGATGATGATGATGATTATATTAATGTTGTGCATGCTTATAATTTAAGAGCATATGTAATTTTAAACTAGTAAATAAATATTGAAAAATAAATTGTTGGCTTTCAGGTGGTTCGTTTTTGATAGAGAATCGAAAACGTTCGTATACTACTGGGACAAGGGTGAGAAGAAGCCGCGGGGCGGCGCTTACTTCCAAGTGAGTATATACCTTTATCCAATCTGAAATACTGGACTGGGAATAGTTTTCAAAATTCACAGAACACAGAAAGAGGTTAGAAAGGGTTGTGGTTGGGGCAGACGCGCCACAGTTATGTATGAGCAAATGCTCATAACTTTGCCAAAACTTGGTTCTGATTGCGTCGTTGCTCTCGGGCGTGAGCGCTGATTGGTTTGATTGATTGATGTCGTGTCATTTGATTGGCTATTATCTATTAGTTGGAAGTGTAGTAAGGACAAGCCGGAGACATTGGTTCTTGTACAAACGGTCTATGATAAACTCTTCTAACGTCATTAAGTGCACTGTGATAAAATTAATGCTTTTAAATACATTTTCATTATTAAACTTATCGTTTTTAGTACAGATTTGAAACTACCCGATATTAAAGGATCATATTATGTGATTCTCGAGAAGCTCGTTGGACCTGGCTGTATCAAAATCAAATATTCATTTATTCAGTTTAGGCTTTTACAAGCACATGTGATCAGGCGTTAGCACCCACCCACCCGCATGGTGGGTCATGGCCTTATCTCCCAATTCCATCCATAGGGCAGGCCTGTGCCCCAGCAGTGGGGATATTAATAGACTAATAATAAATTATCATTATTTAGCTTACATTTTTGATACAAATTATAATACCCGATATAAAACGATTATATTAATACTAACTTCTTGTCTAATTCTTTTCCGTCGTCCTTAGTTATTAGATTTAAATAAAAATCAAATATTCAATGGTATTTCTTATCTGTTAGACAAGTCCGTCCGTCTGTGGTGCTGTTTCAGCGGCCAAACCGTAAGAGATAAATAAAGAGAATATTTAAGTTATAAGTTAAGAATAGTCTGATAAGACTACAAACCGGATTTGAGTAACGTAGCACTTCCGGTTTTCGAGAAATCAGGTTTTGGTGAACATTTGGTTCACTGGTTTGCTAGTCGATTCTAATATGATTCTTTATATATTTTTTTCTTTAAATATAAACTTAAATTTGAGAACAGTGTATCCTTGTCATTCTCTATACAGAATGAAAAGGGACTGATGTTAAATTTAGTTTTAACTTTAGAGAATCATGCCAGAACCGACACCATTACCTAGTTGAATCATAAATTGAAAACATTCTGAATAAAATAAAACGATTTTTTCGGGTTATATGCACTGAATTTATTTCTCTGGCGTTTAATTAGTAGTTAAAATAGTTTTCAATAGGGAAGATGGTTGGTATATACCACCAGCTACGGAACCCATTATACAACAGATAAAATCCCAAACCTCGAGCACACACTGCAAGACCAAAAGATACTGTTAGTTCATTTTGTTTGCATAATTATTATTAGTGATTTGCCGGTTGTGACGCCAGGTTTCATGGTGTCGCTGACTCGAGAGGTCCCGGGTTCGAATCCCGGTGGAGGCAGATGTTTGTGTGATTAAGACGAGCATTTGTACTCCATTCATTGATGTTTAATATGTATTTCTATATAAATATGCTTATATAAATGTATTCTATCCGTTACCCTAGTATCCCATAACACAAGCCTTACAGTGCTTACTTTGGGGCTAGGCTAATTGGTGTGAGTGTTGGAAATATTCATTTGTTTATTACACGCCTTAACACCTATACAATAAAGCTCAAAATCTTCCACAGGTGATAGAAGAAGTTTATCTAGACCACGGAAACACATCCAAATCTCCGAATCCTTCTACAACATTCATAGTGAAGACCCGACAACGACGATACTATCTAATGGCGCCATCTGGCGAAGCTGCCCGGATATGGATCGATGTCATATTTACTGGGGCACAAGGATATACGGAATATTTAGAGTGAAACATTGGAAACTGGACACTATTCTAAAGGAAATAAGAGTGAAAATCAGTATGGATCGACAGGGGCACAAGGTAACACGGAATATTTGGAGTGAAACATTGGAAACTGGACACTATACAACAGGAGATAAGATTGAAAACAATGTTGTCATCGACCGTTGGTTTTGCTTAATTTAAAAGCCCTAACAGTTTTTAAATATCCACTAATTAAATGAAAATTAAAAATGTATGGTATCGTAATATGATGAAAACTACCTAAATTGGTTTCTTAAAGAGGTCGATAATAATTTGTCAATTATTTGTATTTTACTTTGCTGCTACATCCTTATATTAAATTTCAAAAAGAAGAAATTTTAATATGAATCTGTATTCTGGAGTAATTTTTGATATCCAGGCTTATACAATAGTAGTTAATTGGAAAATGCCTCTTGAACTAACTTTGAAACTTTGTACCTATATATTTTCACTTCGTTACACTTTGTAACAAATTGAAACATGTTGTTATGCCAATATACAACATAACTGCGTTGATATAAAGTTTATTATTCCATTACACTACCCAATGAATCTTTAGTGCTGCTGAGCTTCTGGTGTTGCTAGTGTAGAATTATTTTTTTAATGATACACGAAATGTTATTTTTGTGAAAATAATAAACTTCCAGTGTTACTAGTACAAAAGTATGTTTTTGAACTAAGTGGTATTTTAGTTCTAAGCATTTTGTAGAAAATAAAGACAGCTTAGAAATTTTTACTCTTGCGAAAGGGAAGTTAATATTATGTTGAATGGAGCCAAATTTGATAAAAAAATTAATCATCGATAAAAGAATTTTTCCTTGTTTGTCTATAATAAAAATCTATCAATAATTTCTCGTACAATATATATATATAAATATTATCTGTGTGTGTAAAAAGGTTATTTAAATATATATTATTCTTATAGCAAGTAATATCAAAATCAAAGGTTGTACCTTTTTTATATATTAGCAAAAATTACCAATAAAAACATATTTACACAGTAACTAAAAAATCACTATTGACAATATTTTGACAATTAATTTGTGCCAATAATATTGTACAAGGAATAAAGAGGCAGCTATTTTTATAATACATTTAACCAAAAGTTGTTGGTGCCTTGTAAAAGACTGAATGCTTACAAAAAAAATTGACTTCTACCGCAGTTTATACTTATTTAAAGCGACTTAAGCAATGATATTTACGATTGATATAAATGTGTGTAATAAATATCGTTGGACTTATAAGACGCGACTATATAAATCAAGATATACCTACTTCGAGTAAGCATGATAAAGAAAATGGTTATGATTGAAACTATTTCTATCCCAAAACCTGAAGCCGATTTTTATTTCAACGATTTCAATAAAATGATTGTTTTACAATCTTTACACAATATCCTAATTGTTTTTGGATGGAGCATGTATGAAAAAAAGATAATTTTGCACGTATATCGTATGTATGAATCAATGTTACCATATTTTAATTTTTAAATAACAATTCTACTATTCTCGTAATTTTTAATATGGTAACACAATTTATATATGTATGTTACCGTATTATTTTACATTATAAATATACTAAAGCGTAGGTATATTTATTTTGTTTAGTTTCCTTTAGGATGTTAGTTTACTTGCAATTTTCGAGTCTGTTGACTGATAATGTAAGTCTAATATATTAATGAAAAGATCTTTGTGAGAAATTATTATACACTTATTATACTATATATTGTATGATAACTTTACCAATTTTAACTGTAATTATAAATAGCTTGTTTAATAAGTACAAATTTGTGATTTGTGTTTTGTTGAAATACCAGTTTATAAATATATTTTAAAAGTTGGAATGTGTCGTGTAAGTGCAAGTAATGGTTGATACCAATAATATGAATATTTTAAGGTCACAATTTATTATTAACCAGGCGAATAATAAAAAGTATTTTAAACAAAAGCAGTATTATTTTTTCTCAAATCTACGCTTATTTAAAGAAGGGGTAAAGATTGTAAGATGCAAATAGGTAAGTAATCTCCGAAAATCAACGTAAGTTGTAAAGAACCGCACTCAGAGAAATCAATTAACATTGAACCGATCGCCGCAACAGGACACAGCATCTACGGTTTCTTGTAATGGTGTGACTTGTCAGTAACAAAAAGTGTTAACGTTTGCGCAGCGCCTATTTTGGTATAATTTATCTTCTCATCGTCTTCTAATATTATATAGGTACTGTCGATTAACATTGAACTAAAGTTTAAGCTGTCGCTTTAATTGCGTCAACAAAAGAATGCCAACAAGAAATCTAAAACGCCTAGAATGTCAACACTGTGTCTCAAAAACATTAAACTTAATTTTGTTTTTTCTTAGTACGGCTTTTAAGGTATGAGCGATGATTCTAAAATAATCTCGGCCTATAGCTGGTACATTTACTTTTTGAATTCACTTATTATGGAATCAACAAATACATTTCGTTGCCGTACCAGAATCATAATGCCCCTCGGGTTTTTTAAGGCTTTCTTTGGCTACTAATATACGCCCTTCAGTTAACCAATTACATGGTCTTTGGGCTATATTATCTGAGCGAGTAATCGATCTGTCTGTACCCTTAGTTAGCACGAACCACTATCGAATTCCAATAGTTTACGAGTCCGAAATGTCATTGTCAAATTTTGTATGGAAACTTGAACAGCAGCGCCACAAAAGACGTAACGAGAACTAAAAATCAGTACACATTTGACAATGACATTTCGGACTCGCAAACTATCATTCGAATTCTTTATGGGTTCGCTTATGTCAATGGCAGTAAAGTTCAATGTCAATTGCATACGAGCGAGAATTTTCAAATACTGTTTAAAAATTACGCACAATAGACGAATTGTGTCATTTTGCTTCAGTCTTACACTTTTGAGCGTGATTATAATCAACTTATTTGATATGTCAATGGTTACTGAAAAATCTTTTCTCTGTGTTTGTAATTAATATAACTATTAATTTCGTTAATCGACTGTTGTGGCAGGAGCTCGGTGTTACAGTGGCTTGCGTATACGGTCTGCAATCGTGAAAATTACGCCGTAACTATAGATGTAAAACGTTTTAAACCCCAAATAAATCGTTATAAACGGTTGAAAACTGGCATACAAAAATAAAAGAACGTGTGTGAATGTGTTTTACACTTCATTATGGTGCCCCAACCTACCCCCTGTTGTATTCGCGCCTGAGAAGTGTGCGTGCACGGCGCGGGCGGCCGGCAGTTTATGTATGTGCATGTGTGTGTAGGGTAGGCGAGCTGGACACGTTTGCGTCGAGTAACGACGAGTGACGTCAACGAGAGTGCGAGAGTGTGAGTTTGGTTTTAAACCGAATCAAATTGATTGAATTGATTTATATCATTTGAAAACATTTCCTTTTTTATTTACTAACAGAGTTTTTAACTTATGATAAGAGTTTTTATAACTTAGGTAGGTATTACCGGTAAGACCTATACTTGGTCGCGGATGGACCATCTAGAACTAAACTCGCTAAGTATATCAATATCAGTAAGTATATCACACATTTAAAAAATCTTTATACAGTTTATAGGTACTCCGTTATATTCCTACCTCGGTAAAATCAAGACAATGTAGTTATAATAGGGTTGATGACTAATTTTTTTTTCTTCGTTTATCAGGTAGATTATCAAAAAGTATTGGACACGTATTTTTTCTTTTTTCACATAATATAAACATTGCAGAGACATATTGATTTGAAAAGTCGCATGACGTCACGTTTGAGTACACTTATAAGTGAAAATTCACTCAAAAGTGACGTCACGAGCCCCTACTCCCAAACTTTGAGGCGCTATAACTTTGACATTTTTTGGTTGATTGCCCAAAGAAAAAATTATTGTCCATTATTTTTTGATCATCTTGAAATAGAATTTCGTTTACTGTAACCCGTCATCACCCCTATTAAGAAAAACATAGTCATCAACACCAACCGTTTTAAATCGGTTGGTGTTGATGACTATGTTAAAAAAATGGTTTATTTCGGTTTTAAACGGTTTTTTTCGTTTTAAATGGATTGGTTTAATTGGTTTTAAACCGCCCTTACATCTATAGCCGTAATCCATGAAGGTTAGAGAGAAGGAGAACGACCGCTACATTAGCCCTCCTGTCCCTGAAAATTTGTAGAATTTATACTTTGTTCATTTTTCAGCCGCCAGCCGCGCTGCCGTCGGTAAGTTCTATCTGTGAAATTAGTTATGTATGATTACAAGTAGATGAAGTTAATTGAATAATATACGTAGGCCGTATAGGGTAAACTTTATTTACCCGGAAATATACGCTACTCATACCCCGCCGCTGAATAAGGCGACGAGGTTATGTGGAACTCTGTCTTCCTCCTGCTAAACCCTTAAATAAGGTCATAAAGAAAGTAATCACTACTAATCCCCCAAACAGAGGTGGCCACTCATAGCTCCATATTGACCATATGGTTTTAGATATCCATATTCACAGACAGTCACATCTGACCGCCATTGCAGATCGCCCCTATTTGGGAGAGGCCCTAGGCTGGCTCCATGGCTGCTTGGTATGGGGTGCCGCACCCACTAAAACTTCTGTCGGTCGGTGACAGTAACGTTGGTTGCTTATTGGGAATCAATGCCTGAGCTCATGTAGGCATAACCCCTTAGACAGTCGATACCTGTCGTGTGGTGCTGCCATAGTATTTATTATATTCTCTAGTTGGGGATTTACGTAAGGTGGAGGAGAAGTTAGATAATTTCGTATCATGTGAGAGCCGTATTGTGGGTCAACAAAAACTGGTGGAAATTAGTAAATTCATAACAAATAAAATATAGCGCTTAGTATACGTTCACAATTCGAATTTGGTGTAAATGAACCTGAGCTTTATTACCCACATTCTAATGAAAATAAGATTAAAAAATCTACTGAACCTCCCTAAGCTTATAGCATGAACATAGGCTATAAAGAAGATTTATCATCAAGAATAATTAAGTACGTGAAATCCTATGTCTATCACAAAAAGTTAATAAATCACGCTATATTGGGCTCAGTTCTAAACCTATTTCGTCAAAATATGTATGAATGGACTTATTTTCCTTTGCCTCCCCTATGGTCAAGACCGACCAAAACAATGTGACAAATTGAACCTGTCAGTCGCAGTCACAGATTACTTAGAGAGTTTTTGGCGGGATTTCATCGAGTGCGGTTGGAGACTTATTTTCATTATTGTTAAATTTGTTCATAGTGGATATTGTAAAATAAAATTGGTGTAATTGCACAACTGAAGAATTAGTGGAATCTTTGTAATATACGCTATTCCGGTCAAGTGGACGTGAGAACTTTATTGTAGTTTTGACTACCTCACAGAAGCTTATCGAAAAAGCCAACTCGATGCATTTCGTGCCAAACACTCTAAGAAACATTAGAATGAGTCACACCGACATTCTAATGTAAAAGAAAAAGATTTATATAAGTAAAGACTAGGCTGTATGGGCATTGTTCCCTTTGCCTTCCTGACAAAGGAAGACGATTCTGACATGATTCTCTAAACTTAAAACTCATTTTACATTTTTGTTCTGTATAGAGTATGACCAGGATACACTCATGTCAAATTAAGGTTAAGGTTTAGAGAATCATGCCAGAATCGTCACTTAAAGCGCCTACTGACATGCATGCCGCAGGGACAATCTAGGGTGCACGGCGGTCGGCCCAATATCGGCTTGTCTACTCTACACACATGCCTGCTATTCAGTGTTCGGGCGTATGTTGACCTAAACACACGCGTTGATGATGGTCCCAGTGTTATCAAAAAATATGTTACCGTAAAAAAGGAAATACTGGGTGAAGATTTGGCAACAGAAAGAAATGTATTGTAAATAAGTACCTAATGTTTATGATTAGAAAAAAATCCACGCAGACCTGGCAGCAAACGGGACTCGAACCCTTCGCTATCCGGGCGAATGCACTGATCAATCATGCTACCAAGGCCCTGACAGCCGTATCGAATTCTTTCTAACCTTTCTTAAGCTGCAGGCGGCGCCATCTCTTCGCATTATATGTAACCCACAGTGTCAAATGAATACCTTTACAAGTATTAAACATTTAAAAGAAGAAATAGCAATTAAAGTCATAATTTAAAATTTTTAAGCATGTAACTGCTCAATGTTTGAATCTAAAGAAAATATTACAAGAAAAAAATAAAAAAAAACTATTTCTATTTTTCTAGTAATATTTTCTTTAGATTTAAACATCGAGCAGTCACATACTTAAAAAATGTAAATTAATTAAAAAAATATATAAATAACGTTTGTTTTTTTTATCCCACATGTGGGGTCGGTCTTTATATACTTCGATCGCTCGTGTCCAAACTTCATGCTCATTATTAGACATGGGCGTTTTTGGTTTTGAACGCAAACGGATATTTATCGGATTTCAGATTTCAAAATCGATTTTAACATCCGTTTTTAGATATCCGATTTCAGATGTGCCGAACTAAGCCAATTCACTAGTTTGTGATATGATTTGGTTTTATTAGCTAACGACAATCACAAACAATTAATTGTACGAAGCAAGGATACTCGTAGATTTGCGCGATTTTCCTTTATGCTTTAAATCTAGGCTTAGGCAAGAGTATATATTCTGTGGCTTAGGACTAGCAGAAAAGTTATCTTTACGGTTAAGAGTAAAACTTTTGCGGTGCATTTAAAAATCGGCTTATGTTAAATGATTTCTTTTACATATTTTTTTAGTAATTTTTTTGGTTTTTCTGTTGTGTTTTTATTATTTTTCAAACCATTTACAAAATCAAACCTAATTACTTCAGGTTAGCGTTCAAAAAAATGTCAGTTGCTCGACTTTTGATGTTTTTAGACATCCTTTTTCAGTAATAAATAATCCCGCCTTAGAGAAGAACAATAGATTTCCGTAAACAGCAAACCGAAATCGGACTTCCGAGCACGAAATCTGACTTCCGAAAACGAAAGCACGAATTTCGAATCCGATTTACATTTGGATACTTGTGGTGGTATTAGATCGCTAGCGTTTTGGTTCGGTTAGATTTCTGAAATCGGATTTTCTTGTTGAGAAATCGTTCGGTATCGATTTGTGTTTGAAATCGGATTTTGGATTCGTTTTGATATATCGGACGCATGCCTACTCATTATGTCTGCCGCCATCTTGATCGAAATACGTGCGCTGCGTGTGACAGCTACTAACTAACCGACTGATTGAGAAATTGGCCCAATCGCGCTACACACGCGGCAACGTGCAGGGCGGTTGGGACAATCTAGCGAGCAAGGGTGGTCGCGCGCTCCTGTCGCCCTGCCGCAGGCCCGATTTAGAAAATTGCCCAACTTACCTACACGCATCACACAATTCAGGAGGCAATCAAGGGTCATCCCCACTCTTACACCCTAGATTGTCCCTGCGGCAGGCATGTCAGTAGGCGCTTTTATGTCTAAAGGTACTAAAGACAGAGTGTCAGTCAATGTTGTCAACTTGTCTGTCATGTCGAATATCAAATTGTGGTTAGACTAAAAGTTAAATTTTATATTTTTATGAAAACCAAGTTTAACGGATTAAAAAGATTTAAATCTAGAGATGGCTAATGTTGTGACAAAAGTAAAAGAAGTCATCAGCTACTGGTACCTCAGATATCAGTTGGCAACAGAGCTCTACATGGTAGAACCCTGGGAGAAGACTGTTGTTCGTATCCTTTTCAAAATCCATGGAAGAATAAAAATAATAAGGAGGTAGAGACTGCTTATCTTACTTATCTATCCATGACTAACTGGTTGGGTTAGGTTTTTATTCATTTTTCTTGATTATAGTACAGAAAACATTGGGCCTCATTCTGACATGATTCTCTAACCTGAAATTAAATTTGATGGCAGTTCAAAATTGATTTGTTTAAAGAATATAAAAAGGAGAAACTGCTTTGGCATTTAGTTTTAAGTTTAATCAATCAGGAATCATTCCAAGGTAGGCCCATTCTGATTGGGCCTAATGAAAATTCTGTACTTAGACAGACATAGACTTCAATTACATAAAATATTGTTCATAGTTATAATAGTATAATAATTAATCTTTATACAGTATTAATTTTACATATAAGTGACTTAGATCTAAAAAAAAACCACAAAAGTAAAGCAAAATACATAGTCATAGATAATTAACATCTTTGAATATGGCTGATAATCGGTAAGCAAATTATACCTCCCAGCAAACCCATTTTGACAAAAATGTTTACTGCACAAATTTATTTGTTAGTGGTTTTAGTGTTGGGTAGGACACGACTTGAAAAAGAGTTTGTAAGAGTAGCCTCTTTTGTGTACTGAACCAGTACAATGTCCCACTTCAAATGAGGCGAGGCGTACTGAAGCTCGGCAATACATTTGAAGTGACGAGTACAAATATGACATTGAGGCGTACAGAAGCTCGACATTACGTTTGTGTGCACGAGTAGCACCTCCTCTACGCACTATCAATCTTGCTGGATCCAGCATGCAGGACAGCGCTATACACGTAAAACAGATAGAGATACAGATGGATAGTGCGTAGAGGACTTAAATGAAATGTTATGCCTCGCTCTCTCTCTCAGACTTACGAAGAGTGAGTGAGTAACGAGACGCGACTATCGCGACATTTAATGTGAAGTAGTACATTTAAAATTTTGAGCCGCTCTTACAATTTGGCGTCATGTCCGGGACAAATGTACCGCCTCTTGTAAGTCCTACTCAACACTAAGTGGTTTTGCTCAACAAGTTTGGCACAACCTATACCTGTCTCCTATACCTAGAAGGCAAATGTTTGCAATGTATTAAACACAACTATGCTTTTCGACAGCAACTGGTCTGAATTACATCATAATTTTTATTTTCTTAATGTGTAAACAGATTTATTATTTGCCATAATTTTTGGGCTGTTCTGGTATTTCAACACCACCGTTGTTTTGGATGGAATATCAAGACTACGAAACTCCACCTCACATCTGGAACTTATAGAATAATAAATTACCTAATTTATGTTATGATAATAATTATTAAAGGGGATTAAATCTTATTTAATGTGATGTACAAAACCAAAATATTTATAGGCTTATGTATGTATATTTTCTTTATCAACAAATATAATCTAAACGAAACACTGGTGTCAAATCTGACATGATTCTCAAAACCTATCATCGTCATTCTCTATACAGCAAATACAGAATGAAAAGGAGAGACTTATGTTTAATTTAGTTTTAAGGTTAAGATAATCATAATTGAATTGACACCACTGCACTTTCAAAAAATTGTTTTAATGTTTAAAATTTTGTACACTAAAGACTGTTAAGAAAAATGACAAACTGCATTTATAAAGTGTTATTAAACTACTGTTTAATTAAAATGGTGTGAACGTTATTTAAAGCCAAGATTGGAAAAAACATATTTCTACGGCAATTTAATGATCAACGTTAAGTTAATGTCAACATATGTCATTGACAAAGGTAACAATAAAATATTATGTCAATAACACGTCTACTTGGTGAAATAAGGCCCTGATGTAGATGTGATACTATTACTTATGATTGCTTAAAAAAAACAGTAACAACTTTGAAATGACATTTGAAAGATACTATGGTTGACATAAATGAAGTATTTTTAGATTAGGTGAGGAGTTAAAAGTTTAATCATTTTATTATTTTGGACTCTTAATTACTTTTAATATATTTCCTGGATATATTCTATTAATCCAAAATAATAATTATCATATATTTCTATAATCACAAATATTTATGAGTAATTTTGAAGATTAAATTATTAAAATTAAACATTAATTAAAAGCACTTCTAAAATATAAAAATCTCTATTTTCTTAAAATCCTGCCAGAAAATCTGTATTGTGATGTCTCTCTAAACAAAGCTTAGCTAGCACTTTTGTTTCTTTAGGCACGATATCCATTATAGTTTTACTTCCCTGATTTTTTTGTGAATCATAAAAAGAGAAATCACTTCATACTTCACAGCATCTATGGATAGTGACAGACTCTAAAGTATCATATAACAACCTCCGTGGCCGAGTGGTTTGTACTTGTTCGAATCCCTGTGGGGGCAGATGTTTGTGTGATGAATACGAGCATTTGTACGATATTTTATATGTATTTCTATATAAATATACTTATATATGTAGACAGTATATGACTTTTATCCGTTACCCTAATATTCCATAACACAAGCCTACAGTCTTAACTTTAGGGCTAGGCTAAAGTGTTTATTCAATCCTTGAGAAAGGCAAGTAAAGCTGTAAAGGTGTGTGATACCCGCAACATATAGAACAATATTTAGGGCGGATAAGGTGAAAGAAGCTTGACTGAAGCAGCGACGCGCTGGCAAGGCCTTACCTTTGCTCAGGACAAGAAGAAATTTGTCTTTCAGCGAAGTTTAGCGGTACCAAATTTTTTTTTATTCTGGCTTCCAATTAACCCCTGGCGCCTAGAGCGACCTGTTTCGCTTTAACCACATAAGTAAAAAAGCACAGAGTAGTTCATGTAGTATGCAGATGGATGAGTGAGCGTTTTTTTTCATTTATGAAAAAAAAAACGATTTTCTTCGCTACCGGGAGCTTGCAACGAGGATAACTGCGGACTCCTCCCTACCCATTTTACCCAGCTGAATAGCTCGATTAAAACACAGTAAAAACCAGAAAATACGGTCATTCGGCACGCTATTCCGAAGACAGCAGTCCACGAAAAGCGGGTAAAAACTGCAGGAACGAAGTAGTACATACTCGGTGGATCCGCACGTCGGTGATCGACCGTTGGCCACCTCTATGTGTGGTTCCCCGGAGGATCAAGGACAGTAAGGTGCCTCCTCCCGGTAGCCTGCGTTTCCCGTTCTTTTAAGAGATGGGAAGGGAGAAACAGGCGACAGAAGTCCGCGGAGAGTCCGAGCAGCTTAGGCTACTCGGACATCTCCCCCTCTGATGGGCGCCAACGACTCAAAGACCTGCAGGGTAAGGTGCCTCCTCCCGGTAGCCTGCGTTTCCCGTTCTTTTAAGAGATGGAAAGGGAGATACAGGCGACAGAAGTCCGAGCAGCTACGGCTACTCGGACATTGCTCCCTCTGATGGGCGCCAACGACTCAAAGACCTGTTCGGCAAGGGCTTTGCTTTTAGTAGCAAGAGGGTTGCACCGCACCTTCCTACTCCCCATTGGTTACCCAGTTCGCGAGCCCAATGCTGATTGGCAGGTGCTAGCGACTGCAGATGCAACCAGGATCAACGTGCCTCCGAGGGGGGGGGGGGGGGGGGGGGGGGGTGTAAGAGATAATAAAATAAAAAGTTTACTGGCTCTATGGGCATAGGCCCGGCCATTGCGAAGGTTGCTGAATTTCCATGATTGTAAACCGAACACGCTAACGCACGCACTGAGCCATCGAGCTGAAATACGCTAGATACACCAACACGAACAAAAACACATGCGTCAGAGTTATGACAGTTCGAAATGCAAGCTCGTATATACGCGGAAGAATATAGACCTTATTTCTTTGAATCTACAATTCTGAATGCGCTGTTAGCAATATAACAGGTACGACCCGCGAGGAAAAGAAACGGCTATATTACCGACTATGCATTTGAATATCACAAATATTTTCTATTTAGTCAGTTCAGTTTATAGTTATTATTAGAACAAATAGTGTTCCAAATGCGTAATATGTATTAATAAACATCGATTAGATACCTGTTCAAAAAACGACACTACATACTATTTTCTTTTTTCGAATTTTAAACGGAGCTCTGCGGCATCTTAACTTTTCAACGCTCCGCGCGTGACTGTGAACCGAGAAGTGCTTGAGTGGTGTTCAAGCACTGGTGAAAGCACAAGCAGAAAGAAGTTTCACAAGCTCTTGTGAAAGTCAAAAGCTACGTAACAGCCTAGACTGAATAAATGAGTTTGAGTTGGTACTGAGCCATATAGAGAATATTAGTAGGCCAAGAAACGTCTTGGCCTACTAATATTCTACTGATTTTACAGCAAATTAAGCAAATACACACTTCGTCAAGGCTTTATTATCATATCCTTCTTTATTTGATCTGAGCCTAGCAACAGCTATAAGTGTCAATTATTGTGGCCTCGAATGTGCCCATTCCAATTTATGCGATATACCAAGACTGTTTGGACACTAGAGAAATAAAATCTGGACCAAGGCAAGCTGAGCTTTTATTATGAAAATTTTAAAAACCATGACTCGAGACTGGAACGTTGTGTGCTTACTACACAAATAAAAGCATAAGGGTTGCCGTCTTACGCCTGCAAAAAAGATCTTGAATGTTATTATGAAAGAGTCAATCGCAATTTCACAACAGGCTACATCCTCTGTAGGATTGACAGAGCACTTTAGTACAACGCCAATTTTAAAGTGAAACTTTTATTGTTACATCGCTAGAATTTTTATTGGTCATCTCTAGTATGTATTGTTAGATATTAAAAATTGCTTTTAAAATTCTGACCTATATCAACAAGCATCGGTGGTTCAGTGGTAGAAAGCTTGCCTAATAAGCGGGTCCCGGGTTCCATTCCTAGCCAAGGAAGTACTTTTTACCCGACTGCGCACGCAAACAGCGTGACGCGCAGACAGGGAATTGTGTTTAATGGTTTTCAGTTAGAAATTACAGTTTAAGTCTTTATATGTATGTTCCTTTGAGGCACACTAGAGACTACAGATGCACCGAAATTCGTTTCACCGTATAGGGTATTTGACAAGTTTTTAGAAAACGATCTCACGTTATTGATTAATGTTTATAGACTCCGTAAAAAGTGGATATTCATCATTCTGTTGTGTATTTCAGTAAAAATAACCAAATCAAAAACTCCATTTTCAAGTTGCCGCGAAAACGTTTCTCTGGACAATATGGCGTCTTACTAGTGTGTGTCGTCACATGACTGTTATTAAAACGTCAAACGATACAACGATCACTTTTACCGGAAGTTTATTTGCTTTGTGAAGTCATTTTAGGCTCCGCCAATCCCAAGCGTTTTGGGTCACGTGACAATAAATAAGAAAACCATTATCTTTTTCGTGGGTTTTAAGTAACTTTATGAATATTTTCTCTGTAAAAATAGTAAAAACCCCTGCCAATATTCATTTTAAACACAGATGCTAACAATTGGCACTTTATTTTTAAAACTGTCAAATACCCTATTATTCCAATACCGAAGTTCGGCAGCTACGTCTTCGGCTGAAATTCGGATGCTTCAATCAATAAATAAAAAAGAAAAGGAAATGTTGAAAGAAACGTATTTTAAAAGTATAAAAAATATACTTTATAAAAATTTATTATTGTAATAATCACAAGGTAACCTATTTTTTTTTATTGTAACTAAACAATATTTTATTTATTTAAATATTTTGATCATCCAGCAGAACTACGCGAAATTTAACAGAATGTCGGCGGAACTTCGGTCGAATTTAACAATCGGTATCGACAGAAAACAAACGCGTGGACAGATTTTGTTTTAATTAGGTCGGTGATTGTCCGAAATGAATAAAAGGAGATAAGACGAATTATAAATAATAAAAAACCAAATAAATATAAGCAAAATTTATTTCCCTCTCAAACTTTTAAGTAACTTACACAATAACCATTTGTATTGCGGAAGCATTCTGGCACTTTTTGTGTCATTTTCTGCAAATGATCGACGCCGCGGCAGAACATACTCTTCGATATATCCGTAGAAACTACGCCGGGGTCGGAAAGCCAAGCTTCTACTTCTCCGGTCAGAGAAGACTCAACTCGATACAAAATTTTTGTTAGAAAGCTCGACTGCAATTTGATCTTTTCCTTTTCAATGTATTCGCCAACGTCCCTCAAAACCTGAAGCTCCTTATCCATAATCCAAATCAACAGGTACTGTTTGTTATTCGCTGAAATCGCACATTCCAGAACAATTTTACATATAACGGAGTACTGCATGCCTAGATTGAATTCGAAAGCCATTTTCTCTATAGTATAAATGAAGTCATCGGTAATCAGATCTCCAGAGGGTTGTTTATGTGAAAATACAGTGTTTTCTGCACTCCCATTATTAATTTTTACTTCAGAATTGAATATTTTCACGCTGTCTTTGTGCTTGAGACCCAACCAAGCTAGGCATCTGTTGCAGTGGTACAAATTTCTTTTAGAGTTGAACTTGTTTGTTTTATCAGATAAAGAACAATTGTTTACTAGGAAAAACGTGAGTCGGTAAAGAAAGTCTTTTTTATTTGGTTTCAGTTCAATGACTGGAGCATTGTTTTCATGGTCATGATTCTCAGCATGGCTGTGCCCATGTCCATGACAGAACCAATCTGACATATCAAGATTCTCCGATGGCAACTCTAGTATTCGATTAAACTTCACTTTGCCATTGGATATAACATTTGAACAATTGCTGCACACAATATTTAATTCTACATCAGATTTGACGTTAATCAACAACTCACTTCCAACTTTGGTCTGTAGAGTGTTGGGGGAAGACAGAAGTTCTTTGTAGAAGTTGCCTCCATCTTTGGGTGCTGTCAAAATTCTAAATGAAATAGTGTTTTTATTGATTTTAAGACAAGACAGTGAATTTGGTATGATTTCACAGTATTCATTTATTGGTATTACTGCAAAATCATCAGTTTCTTCTTCTGAATAAGATTCACAATCAGAAAGGCTTTCTATTGAAGAAAGGCTATCACTTCTTTTAAATTTATTGGTATCATCATAGTAGTTAATCACAATGCAGCTTGACTGTATGCTTACTTTCAAATTACAATTCTTGCTTAAATCAACTCCCGTTGTGATATAAACGTTGCAACTGCGCAATCTAGTTCGCAACTCCATAAAAATACTTTTGATCAACATTTTCACTTATTAAATTAATATCAGAATAAAATCCAGACAGTAAATATTTGGACCTTATTGGGTTTCACAAAAATATGTTACTTATCGATTAGCTCAATATTCTCAATATTTGGCTTGATCCTTTGCAAGTGTCCATTCGTTTCGTAAACATTAAAAATATTGTCCATTTCTCTAATAGTGAATGGTAACGTAGCTTTTTTGTAGTAATCTCCCATCATTTCGAGGTTGCTAATGACCGATTCGAGGAGATGTGCCTTCTCTGCATAGATACCAGGTGCTTCGTGCCTCAGGTATGTGAAATGTATGTGAAGATGGTAGAAAGAAGGCTGGTAATGAAAGTAGATACGTAATTGACTGCCTGGCAAACCGTACTTCTCAAAGATAACTTTCTGAAATCAATGAATAGAAAAAATTAATATCTTTGTTTCAAATCAAATCATCTTTTATTATCAATAGAAAGAAATACTAATATGTTAGATATAACAAATATTATTGGATGACATAGCAAGTCAAGTAACTTAGGTTATGAAACTATGAATCAAGGGAGGCACCACAGTCAAGCTCAATAAATAATATGACCAGCAACTCAAACTATACTTGTTTATTAAATTTTCTGAGAAATGTTTCTCAGTCTTTATCAGGTAAAATTTACACCCACACCTTTTGCTATCCAGATGAGAAAATATTTTGATATAAATTTCTTTAATAGATTCTAGTTCATACTACCATACCGCATCTTCCCTTTTTATTTTAATCTAAGATCCAACAGCAAAATAGATTCTAGTTCATACTACCGTACCGCATCTTCCCTTTTTATTTTAATCTAAGATCCAACAGCAATCTGCACTTTATAGTAATCAAATCAGAATTTGATTACTATAAAGAGCAGCCCCGTAATTCTTCTAAATACATCTAAGCATGAAATAATTAAAAAAAGGTTTGAAATACCTTTCCCTCGTCACGAATCTTCTTTAGCAGTGGGAGGTGACTCGCATCCAAGTCTCGGAGTGACTTAATGCCTCTCTGTTGTACAATCGCCAGGAGATACAGTGTCTCTTTGGTCAAACCATCCCACTTCAAATCAGGCAGTAGCACAAACCCGCCCTTCTCACACTTATTATCGTAAATGATTCTTTCCTGCTCACTCTTGCCTTCTAATATGTTGTACACCCACTGAAAAGAAATCAACACATGCATTAGGTGAATGAATGTTTGCCCATCCTTTCCTTAAATGTAATTTATATATAAATGCAGATTCGCTTTCTTAACCTATATACTGAAATAAATGTCAGTTTTTGTATGTTTTAGAGAAATGTTTTTTGGTTATTATAATCAAAAGTAATTTAAATTTTTATTAAGAATAAGATATACCTGCAAATGAAATTGCTCTTTTTGAATAAAGGGTAATGTCAATTTTTGATACAACTCTGGAGTCTCAGCAATCAAATGCACAGTCTGTGCAGAATATTTTGCAATATGCTTCTCTGTAGCTGGATATATAATTGTGGTTTTCACACCTGGACAAGAGAAACAAATATATAAATATTTATTGACATGTAGTTGACATGTTGGGAAAACTAAATTACTACTTACTAAGATAATATTGAATTCCTGTATCTTTGAAGAAACAAAGACAACTTGATAAGATAACAAAATTATAGTGTATGCAGTTACAGGTTGCGGCACGTATCAATAGCGCTGAACAAATCGTGGAGGGGATAGCTGCACATGGGTATGACTGGAGAGCCAATCAGCGCAATGCACACCAACCCGTGTACCATGTTTCCCCTTAAGACATCTTAATGTTTGCTTCTGCGCAATAACAGTCAGGTCATAACTTTGTTAGCTAATAAAGTATCAGCAACAAATTTTGTAATCATATAAAAGATACAGGAATTCATCACAAAATGAGTATGTTATCCACTGCAAAACTGTTTATAAGCTTTATGTTTCTTCTACCTTTATGAACTTTTGTTAAGATGATATTTGCATTAATGAAGCAATTAAAAAGTAAAATGAAGCACTTAAAAATTAATAACATGAAACTGTAAATAGTTGTTAACCTTCTTATGTTTTCTGATTCTGATATTTCAACTTTTTTTTTATCTTATTTATTTTGATTTTTATTTACATATTAAACATATAGACAACAAAACAGAAAACAATCAATAACAGCATATAAATGAATAATGTCTATAGTTCTTAAACCAAATTGCAATCCTGATTAAGTTGATGCATAAATATAATAAAAATATTTATATAAATTATGGACAAGAAATAATTTTCAAAAAGTAACCGGCTCAGCTTTCCATTATATGTAATTGAGTTGCAAGCTGAAATTTTTGTCACGCAAAGTATTAACTATTAAAAACACGTACACGAAATCTTTTTAGGCGGAAACGAATAGAACTCGAGAAAAAAATTATTGAAAATTAATATTTTTGTAGGTTATGAGTCAATTTTGACAGCAATTTTGATCAGTGCTGCCATTTTTTTATGCAAAAATAACATGATTCTCGTTGTCTATGGTAAATATAAGTTTATTATGTTGGTACTATTGTCAAAATGTGACAATTTACCGCCATTAATGAGATCTGTCAGTCAGTGTTTGTGTTCGTCGCAGTTGAGAGCTTTTTCGTACTCCTGTTGATATTAACATCGTCTGACTACCATGGCATCCTCGAAGCCTTCGGCCTCGAGTTCTGCTGTCCCATCGCCTGAAGAGTCGAGTGTAGTGCGAGTTTTGGACTCTAATGAGCCATTTGTGTGGTGATACTTCACACTAGGTTAGGTTAGGTTAGTGTTGTGACCTTAACGCGCGAGCCGAGCGAGCGAAGCGAGCGTGCCGCGGCAGCGGCCGGCGAAGCGCCAGAAAGAAAATTTCATTTCTTATAAAAACGACCCTTCCCTCTGAGGGGTCTTCCCTAATACCTATCCCCCTGAAATTTCACTACTTAAAACAGATTTAATGAATTTTTAGGTTAGGTAAAAAAAAACTGCATTTCCGCCAAAAATCTTTTATGGCGGGGGGGTCGGGGGGAGCCCCCCCTCCCCCTCCCCTACAAATTACCGCGAAATTCAATTACATATAATGGAATTAAGTACCATGAAGTATGTATTTATAGCTTAGTTAATTATATTCCTTTGACTGTTAATAAAGATAAGAGCTTATCTCTGTTTATTCTAGGAATACTGAGTCAAAAGTCAGTAATTGCTCATAACTTAATGAGAAACAATAAACCAGATACGTTGCTATGAGATAAAATACCATATGTTATGGATATTAAACACAAGAAACCAAAAGCTTATAGCTAAAGAGGCTTTTTCTGGCTAATATATGCAATCTGGCAAAAAACATTTTTTTTTAACATTTTCGTTTAATAATAAAAGTTTAAAATAGCTCAAAAACTACTTGCACTACTTAACATGATGACTAATCATTTCAAAATGCAACAAAGACGAATCCTTGAGATTTGAAAGTAGGAAAACTTACCGTTCAATGAAGAAGGAGGATAACACTCGTAGTTTCCGTAAATGTCGTTCTGAAAGTAAGTCACCAATTTTGTATCCTGAGTAAAATAGCCACCGTTGCTCTTATTTAAATCTTCGTCTTTGAAAGCATTTTTCTCAAAAAGGATCAACGCCACGCCACTTTTGTCTTTAAATTTACCCTGAATGCAAACTATTTTCTTGCTTGTATTGTTATTTAAAGTTTTCTCTGGTATAAAGTCTTTAAGTTTTAACTGATCGTTGCTTACACCATTCTCACTATCTTGCGAAATCTTTATTTTCTTTCGGCAAAGCGCAGAGACGTCATTTTCGAGATCAGCGTCGGACATTTTGTGTCAAAGTTGCTAGTAACAAAATAATAATAAATTTAAATTGTTAATAAAAAGGGTGTCGATTCTGGCATGGCATTTTGTAGTTAAGTTCTTCTAAAACTGACTATGCAGGGATCTCAAAGGCCCAAGCACAAATTTAGACAGCTCCGTAATCGTATCGTCATCGTCAAATTTTGTATGGAGGGAGCCAGTTTGTTCAATACATCCGGTAGGAGCGCTACATAATTTTCATAGAAACTTTCACGATGCGATACGATTACATAGCTGTCAAAGTACGTGCTTGGGCCTCTGTTCATTTGTGAGCACAGACTATTTAGATACTTGTTTGTGAGTAAATTCAATGCATTGCTTATCTTTTGTCTTCCGCACACAGAAGAAACTTCAAAAAGTTTACATTTAATTTTTTTCAATTATTCTTTTGATTATAAAGACAAAGAATATAAATCAATACAGCATGGTCTTAAAAAAAATAACAAAAATATATTCTTTTTGTGATAAGTTGCAAAAATATACATAGAAATGACTTTATTATACATACTTACTTGCAAAATAATTAATGTCGTTTTTGTAGATACTCTTTTATTATAGAAAGCCAATATTTAAATGCCTTACAGACAACCATTATACACTTTTCCTCTTTGCAGGCAACTAACAAGTATTTGAATTCCATGATCTGACAATATAAGAACCCGTTTTTTATAAATATTTAATACTATTAAAAATAACAATGTAATGGTGTCCATCTATCTTGACATGATTCTCTAAACTTAAAACTAAATTTAACATCAGTCTCTCCTTTTCATTCTGTATAGAGAATGACAAGAATATACTGCTGTCAGATTTAAATTTAGGTTTAGAGAATCATACTAATAGTATCGACACCAATGGTGTATAATTGTCATTTTCTATGTAGAATGAAAAGGAGAGACTAAATTTAGTTTTAAGTTTAGATAATCATGTCAAGATGGACACCATTACATTGTTATTTTTAATAGTATTAAATATTTATAAAAAACGGGTTCTTATATTGTCAGATCATGGAATTCAAATACCTGTTAGTTGCCTGCAAAGAGGAAAAGTGTATAATGGTTGTCTGTAAGGCATTTAAATATTGGCTTTCTATAATAAAAGAGTATCTACAAAAACGAAATTAATTATTTTGCAAGTAAGTATGTATAATAAAGTCATTTCTATGTATATTTTTGCAACTTATCACAACAAGAATATATTTTTGTTATTTTTCTTAAGACCATGCTGTATTGATTTATAGTCTTTGTCTTTATAATCAAAAGAATAATTGAAAAAAATTAAATGCAAACTTTTTGAAGTTTTTTCTGTGTGCGGAAGACAAAAGTTATGCAATGCATTGAATTTACTCACAAACAAGTATCTAAATAGTCTGTGCTCACAAATCTTCTTCTTCTTCTTCTTCTTTTTAGAAAATGGCGGTGCACTTTTGTGGATTTCGCCAGACTCGAGTGATTCAGCTTGGTTGTTCAGTAGGAATTGACTTTGCTTTTTTTTTTTTTTTTTTTTTTAAGTATGTTGTGAAAGCACAATATGTGAAAGGAGTAAACAATGTACTTGAATTTTTGTAATTGGATATCTGTTGTCTTATCTGAAAGGTAGAGACAAACACAAAAAAAAAGTCAGTAATGTTAGTTGGTTAGTCCAGAGACAAACAATTACAAGCGTATATTATTTTTGGATATATATTCACAAAGTAGGATAATAAAGGGAGAGTTAACATAGGTTAGGAGTGTTTTAAAATTTATAGGTTTGGGAATATATGGTGGAAGGATGTCATAGAGTGAAACCGGGTATTTTGGGCAACTAAAGAAAATATGTTCAGTTGTTCCTTCATCCAGCCCGCATTCACATAGTGAGCTGTCTTTAACCTTAATTTTGGCAAGGAAGACGGGGGTGTTTACGTGCCCTAATCTTAGTCTGCAAATGGTCGAAGTACACGACTTTGAGGCATTCTTAAACTTGGAAAACCAAGGTTTACTTGGGATGATATCTTGGATATCCGCATAATGTTTTCCGACCGTCTTGCTGGATAGTTTCCATTGGGAGCTCCAGGTGGTTCCCATCCGAAGACTAGCTACGGAGGTCAAATCATGGGAGAAAACCTGGTGGTAACTGGGGCTTCCCCTAGTTATAGCGTCTTTTGCAATTAAGTCTACAACCTCATTGCCATCTATACCCGCATGGCCAGGGATCCACGCTAATGCGGCTCTTATTCCTTGTCTGTGACATCTATATAAAGCATTTCTAATTTTTAAAATACAGGGGAAATTTGTTTTGTTCCGGAAAGGGTTGGACATAATTGCCTGAAGGCAACTTTTAGAGTCTGAAAAGATAATGCTTTTATCAAGTTTATGTGATTCAATATAAATTGTTGCCTCGAGGATAGCTATTGCTTCTGCAGTGAAGATTGAAGTGTGGGGAGGACATTTAAAGTTTAGAATAATTTTGAATTTGGGAATCCAAACTGCTGAGCCTACAGAATCTTTGTCGGAAAGTTTTGGGGCGTCTGTGTATACCTCCAGCCACTCTACCCAATTCTTTCTAATTAGAGCTTGTAAAACAAAGTCTGCGTTAGGAGTGTCCTTAGAGATGCCCAAGTCTAAGGATATGTCAGGTTGAAAGACTAGAGATGGAAACAAGTTGTCAAAGAGAGGATTTGAAACACACTGGTATATGGGGAACGGAAGACGAATGAACGAGAGAAAGCTATTAAATAAACAGGGTGGGGATTTATGTTTCCAGAATTTATTGGACGAAATGAATTCGGAAAGTTCATGGAGTTTCCCTATTAAAGGGTGATCTCTGTTCTGGATAATTTTATAAAAGAATTTATCAGCTAAATATTGTCTCCTGATAGACAGTGGAGGGTCCGTACATTCCACCTGTAGGGCGTTGATAGCTGAAGACTTTTTAGCTCCCAGAATTATGCGAAGACACTTAGACTGCAACTTATCTAGGGATTTTAGTGAAGATTTTAAGCAGGGTTCCAGTAAGAAAGATGCATAGTCCAAGTGGCTTCGAACTAGGGCGTTGTAAAGTAACTTCTGACAGAAGGGATGGGCTCCCCACCAGGTTCCAGACAGAGATCGAAGAATATTTATATTTTTTTCGCACTTTTTAACTACATGGGCGATGTGATGAAATCCGGTCATTTTTGAATCAAGGACCACTCCAAGGAACTTGGCCTGGTTTTTTAGAGGAATGGTTTGACCTTCAAACTTGATAATGGTATTGGGAGTATTTCTGGAGCGAGTAAAAATTACAATATTACTCTTCATAACTGAAAGTGAAAGGCCATGGTCAGATAACCAATTATCTAAATATGACAAAGCCATATTGAGGCGGGACCTGGAAGCTTCATGATTAGAATCTGAGACATATAGACATATGTCATCTGCATATTGCAGGACGTTACAGAATGAGTTGAGAGAAAGTTCTAGATCGTATGTATATAGATTATAAAGAAGAGGGCTTAGGACAAACCCCTGGGGTAGACCTTTCCAGACTGATCTTGGTGGAAGAAGAGAATTATTTAAGCAAACTTGTATTGAGCGTGCGGACAGGAGACTGAATATTATGTTTATAAGCCTCACGGGGATACTCAGCTTGAGCAGTTTTTGCCTGAGTAGCGGAAGCAGAACATTGTCATATGCAGATGACACATCTAAGAACACTCCTGTTACATTCTCGTTTTTAGATAAGCCGATCCAGATATCAGATAGAAAAATGCTAAGGCTGTCCATGGTACTCATACCCTTTCTAAAACCAAATTGGCTTTTAGCCAGAAGACCTCTACTTTCCAAAATCCATTCAAGTCGGTTTTTAACTAAGTGCTCTAAAATTTTGGACATAGTGCAAGAAAGAGCAATGGGCCTATATCCGTTCGGATCATTGCTAAGCTTTCCAGGTTTTAGAATGGGAATGATGATTTGGGTTTTCCACTCTTCCGGGGGAACCCCTGAGAGAAAAATGAAATTAAGGATATTCAAAAATAGGTCCTTGGATGCTAAAGAACTGTTGATAATAAAGGAATATGGAATACCATCAACGCCTGGAGAGGAGTCCCTCAGGCCGTTCAGTACGGCAGAAAGTTCCTCTACAGAGAATGGTGCATCAAATTCTGTTAAGTGCGGAGGTAAAGGAATAAGAGAAATGATTGCCTCGCTACTAGTGGGAACTGACGGTGGAGCTAATTTGTTTTGGAATGCATCCAACCACTCTGAGGGATCATTAGAGGAGATGTTAAAAACGTCGGACATTGAACACCTAAATCTCCTAACATTCCTCCAGACCATAGAGGGAGGAGATTTAGGAGAAAGGGCTTCGCAGAATCTATGCCAACCAAGCCTTTTTTTGGCCTTAAGAGTTTTGGTAGCTTTTGCTGCAGCTGCACGGTACTTAATGTAATTAGATTTAGACGAGCAGATGTTATAGTCCTTTTCAGCGCTCTTTCTCTCTTTACATACTAATGTGCATTCGGAATCCCACCAAGGTGGGGAAGATGATTTACCTTTAAAATAATTTTTATATGGAAATGATTTTTCTGCTGCTGATAGCAGACAGTCCCTAAACTTTGTATATAGAGAGAGATAATTGTCTGCGTTGACTGCAGGAAAATGTTGATGCTCCTGGTCCAAATTATGTTTGAACAAGGACCAATCAGCTTTGGACAGATTATATTTTATTCGAGGTCGGGGACGGTTACCTAAGGATGAATATTGTGTTGTGTCATTTGCCCCAAAAACGACAATTGGGAAATGATCACTTCCATGGGTAATAGGAAGGATTGTCCATATCATAAGTGATGCCAAGGATGGTGAGCACAGAGTCAGATCTACTGCACTTCTAACATTTTGAGATGGGTATACTCTGCGGGTAGGGGAACCGTCATTTAAAATACAAAGGGAGTATGTGTCACAGATATCTAAAAAGGATGAGGATAAGTGATCACAATGGTAAGAACCCCAGGAAGTGTGATGAATGTTAAAATCACCCAAAATCACCAT